TTACAACTGACAGTTTGTTGTCGGTGATAACCCAGATGGTATACAAATGATAGTTTGTTGTCGGTGACAATCTGCATGGTTTACAACTGACAGTTTGTTGTCGGTGATAACCCACATGGTATAGAACTGATAGTTTGTTGTCGGTGATAATCTGCATGGTTTACAACTGACAGTTTATTGTCGGTGATAACCCACATTGTATACAACTGATAGTTTGTTGTCGGTGATAATCTGCATGGTATACAAATGATAGTTTGTTGTCGGTGATAACCCACATGGTATACAACTGATAGTTTGTTGTCGGTGACAATCTGCATTGTTTACAACTGACAGTTTGTTGTCGGTGATAACCCACATGGTATACAACTGACAGTTTGTTGTCGGTGATAACCCACATGGTATACAACTGATAGTTTGTTGTCGGTGATAATCTGCATGGTTTACAACTGACAGTTTGTTGTCGGTGATAACGCACGTGGTATACAACTGATAGTTTGTTGTCGGTGATAATGTGCATGGTATACAACTGACAGTTTGTTGTCGGTGATAACCCACATGGTATACAACTGATAGTTTGTTGTCGGTGATAATATGCATGGTATACAAATGATAATTTGTTGTCGGTGATAACCCACATGGTATATAACTGATAGTTTGTTGTCGGTGATAATCTGCATGGTTTACAACTGACAGTATGTTGTCGGTGATAACCCACATTGTATTCAACTGATAGTTTGTTGTCGGTGATAATCTGCATGGTTTACAACTGACAGTTTGATGTCGGTGATAAACCACATGGTATACAACTGATAGTTTGTTGTCGGTGATAATCTGCATGTATACAACTGACAGTTTGTTGTCGGTGATAACCCACATGGTATACAACTGATAGTTTGTTGTCGGTGATAATGTGCATTATATACAACTGATAGTTTGTTGTTGGTGATAATCTGCATGGTATACAACTGACAGTTTGTTTTCGGTGATAACCCACATGATATACAACTGGCAGTTTGTTGTCGGTGATAATCTGCATGGTTTACAACTGACAGTTTGTTGTCGGTGATAACCTGCATGTTATTCAACTGATTGTTTGTTGTCGGTGATAACCCACATGGTATACAACTGATAGTTTGTTGTCGGTGATAATCTGAATGGTATACAACTGATAGTTTGTTGTCGGTGAAAACCTGCATGGTATACAACTGATAGTTTGTTGTCGGTGATAACCTGCATGGTATACAACTGACAGTTTGTTGTTGGTGATAACCTGCATGGTATACAACTGACAGTTTGTTGTCAGTGATAACCTGCATGGTATACAACTGACAGTTTGTTGTTGATGATAACCTGCATGGTATACAACTGACAGTTTGTTGTTGGTGATAACCTGCATGGTATACAACTGACAGTTTGTTGTTGATGATAACCTGCATGGTATACAACTGACAGTTTGTTGTTGATGATAACCTGCATGGTATACAACTGACAGTTTGTTGTCAGTGATAACCTGCATGGTATACAACTGACAGTTTGTTGTTGGTGATAACCTGCATGGTATACAACTGACAGTTTGTTGTCAGTGATAACCTGCATGGTATACAACTGACAGTTTGTTGTTGATGATAACCTGCATGGTATACAACTGACAGTTTGTTGTTGGTGATAACCTGCATGGTATACAACTGACAGTTTGTTGGTGATAACCTGCATGGTATACAACTGACAGTTTGTTGTCAGTGATAACCTGCATGGTATACAACTGACACTTTGTTGTCAGTGATAACCTGCATGGTATACAACTGACAGTTTGTTGTTGATGATAACCTGCATTGTATAGAACTGACAGTTTGTTGTTGGTGATAACCTGCATGGTATACAACTGACAGTTTGTTGTCAGTGATAACCTGCATGGTATACAACTGACACTTTGTTGTCAGTGATAACCTGCATGGTATACAACTGACAGTTTGTTGTTGATGATAACCTGCATGGTATAGAACTGACAGTTTGTTGTTGGTGATAACCTGCATGGTATACAACTGACAGTTTGTTGTTGGTGATATCCTGCATGGTATACAACTGACAGTTTGTTGTCAGTGATAACCTGCATGGTATACAACTGACAGTTTGTTGTTGGTGATAACCTGCATGGTATACAACTGACAGTTTGTTGTCAGTGATAACCTGCATGGTATACAACTGACAGTTTGTTGTCAGTGATAACCTGCATGGTATACAACTGACAGTTTGTTGTTGGTGATAACCTGCATGGTATACAACTGACAGTTTGTTGTTGATGATAACCTGCATGGTATACAACTGACAGTTTGTTGTTGGTGATAATCTGCATGGTATACAACTGACAGTTTGTTGTTGATGATAACCTGCATGTATACAACTGACAGTTTGTTGTTGGTGATAACCTGCATGGTATACAACTGACAGTTTGTTGTTGATGATAACCTGCATGGTATACAACTGACAGTTTGTTGTTGATGATAACCTGCATGGTATACAACTGACAGTTTGTTGTTGGTGATAACCTGCATGGTATACAACTGACAGTTTGTTGTTGATGATAACCTGCATGGTATAGAACTGACAGTTTGTTGTTGATGATAACCTGCATGGTATACAACTGACAGTTTGTTGTTGATGATAACCTGCATGGTATAGAACTGACAGTTTGTTGTTGATGATAACCTGCATGGTATACAACTGACAGTTTGTTGTTGATGATAACCTGCATGGTATACAACTGACAGTTTGTTGTTGATGATAACCTGCATGGTATACAACTGACAGTTTGTTGTTGATGATAACCTGCATGGTATACAACTGACAGTTTGTTGTTGATGATAACCTGCATGGTATAGAACTGACAGTTTGTTGTTGATGATAACCTGCATGGTATACAACTGACAGTTTGTTGTTGATGATAACCTGCATGGTATACAACTGACAGTTTGTTGTTGATGATAACCTGCATGGTATACAACTGACAGTTTGTTGTTGGTGATAACCTGCATGGTATACAACTGACAGTTTGTTGTCAGTGATAACCTGCATGGTATACAACTGACAGTTTGTTGTTGGTGATAACCTGCATGGTATACAACTGACAGTTTGTTGTTGATGATAACCTGCATGGTATAGAACTGACAGTTTGTTGTTGGTGATAACCTGCATGGTATACAACTGACAGTTTGTTGTTGATGATAACCTGCATGGTATAGAACTGACAGTTTGTTGTTGATGATAACCTGCATGGTATACAACTGACAGTTTGTTGTTGATGATAACCTGCATGGTATACAACTGACAGTTTGTTGTTGATGATAACCTGCATGGTATACAACTGATAGTTTGTTGTTGATGATAACCTGCATGGTATACAACTGACAGTTTGTTGTTGATGATAACCTGCATGGTATACAACTGACAGTTTGTTGTTGGTGATAACCTGCATGGTATACAACTGACAGTTTGTTGTTGATGATAACCTGCATGGTATAGAACTGACAGTTTGTTGTTGATGATAACCTGCATGGTATACAACTGGCAGTTTGTTGTCGGTGATAACCTGCATGGTATACAACTGATAGTTTGTTGTCAGTAATAACCTGCATGGTATACAACTGATAGTTTGTTGTTGGTGATAACCTGCATGGTATACAACTGACAGTTTGTTGTCGGTGATAACCTGCATGGTATACAACTGACAGTTTGTTGTTGATGATAACCTGCATGGTATACAACTGACAGTTTGTTGTTGGTGATAACCTGCATGGTATACAACTGACAGTTTGTTGTCAGTGATAACCTGCATGGTATACAACTGACAGTTTGTTGTTTGGTGATAACCTGCATGGTATACAACTGACAGTTTGTTGTTGATGATAACCTGCATGGTATACAACTGACAGTTTGTTGTTGGTGATAACCTGCATGGTATAGAACTGACAGTTTGTTGTTGATGATAACCTGCATGGTATACAACTGACAGTTTGTTGTTGATGATAACCTGCATGGTATACAACTGACAGTTTGTTGTTGGTGATAACCTGCATGGTATACAACTGACAGTTTGTTGTTGATGATAACCTGCATGGTATAGAACTGACAGTTTGTTGTTGATGATAACCTGCATGGTATACAACTGATAGTTTGTTGTTGATGATAACCTGCATGGTATACAACTGACAGTTTGTTGTTGATGATAACCTGCATGGTATAGAACTGACAGTTTGTTGTTGATGATAACCTGCATGGTATACAACTGATAGTTTGTTGTTGATGATAACCTGCATGGTATCCAACTGATAGTTTGTTGTCAGTGATAACCTGCATGGTATCCAACTGATAGTTTGTTGTCAGTGATAACCTGCATGGTGTACAACTGACAGTGTGTTATTGATGACAACCTGCATTGTATACAACTGACAGTTTGTTGTCGCTGATTACCTGCATGGTATACAACTGATAGTTTGTTGTCGGTGATTACCTGCATGGTATACAACTGACAGTTTGACAATTGACAGTTTGTTGTCGGTGATAACCTGCATGGTATACAACTGACACGCCATGTTATAAGTGAAATATCGTTTAACGCGGCATCTCACTCACTCACTCACTCACTCACTCACTCACTCACTCGAGGTTTAACTTGCTAGGGACGTAGTGAGGTACATGGAATTTTATAAAAACGTCTTGACACATACAGTTCAAGCATTTTACATGTAAAGCAAAATAGATACTTTTATTACAGTTGTAACTTCAACTTCAACGTGGACTTACAGGACTCTTCTGAATATAAATAATAACAAAATTGTAGACGGACATGCTGCCTTCGAACATGTTTATTTTGTTGTCCACAAGCCGTCATAACATTACATTCTCGAAGAAATGTGAACGGGAGGTCAGTCACTGTGTCACGTGACGCTCATTGGACGTTCTCTGTGCCCTGCAGTGCAGAGAGACTAATCTCGGCGTTATCACAGCCGTACAAACAAATGATGGATGGACACACATACCTGTGGTCGATATATTGCTATTGTTCCGTATTATTATTTGAAAGTTATGGCTATGTTTGCTGTCATTCCATAACCAGAAGAATGAAAACAAAACATTTTATTTTTGTGTGGACTGGGACAGGGCAGCTATATAAGCCCCTGACTTTCTACCAAAGCTGCACATTCACTTGACTGACACTCGCTCTTGCACACCATGTTCGCTTCACTTCCCGTCCTTGCCATTGTCTTCGCGGTCTACCTGCCGTCGACAGAAGCTCAGAGTAAGTCAACATCTTGCATCTCTTATCATTCATAGGGGTGTTTATTTACATGGGGATGGTTCTGTCATAGGCTCGCTGGCCAGTTAATGATGTTATATGGGCAACTTTTGATAATGTTCGAGTGAGTGAGTATGGTTTTACGCCGCTTTTAGCAATATTCCAGCAATATCACGGCGGGAGACACCATAAATGGGCTTCACACATTGTACCCATGTCGGGAATCGAACCCGGGTCTACGGCGTGACGAACGAACGCATTAACCACTAGGCTACTCGACCGCCCCAGATAATGTTCGAAGCACGGAATTCGTTTTCACATCCTGCTCATGAATGTGGATGTTTTACATGATCTTTCGACATAAATCGTTATTCAAGTGTTGTTTCCGTAGAAACAAGGTAAATTAGTATTTTGATATTGTCTTAATCAATTTGTATTCATAGTACTAGTCTATTGGCCATGGTGAATTCTGTGACCCTATGTTGAGAAGGGAATGAGGGATAGCCACGTTGAATTGGAAACGTCGCGAGATTTTGATTGGACTATGCATAGACTCGTTAGTCCAGACAAAATGTAACTCCATAATACCAGCCTAGTTCGGCAAGGGTGGAAACTGGACTTTTACAGTCCGTTAACTCTCTTGCCTCGGGAAGATGCACAATTCTTAGAATCGTATTTACTGGTAACTTATATTGATATGAACATTACTTTGTTACTTGTTTGTTCCCACCTCAATCCTCAGTATTTAAGTTATGATCTTTGAGGAGAAAGATCACATTCTATTTCAGGGCAAAAAACCCCCCCAAAACATTGCATATTTTCTTGTCTGTTTTGATTTTCATTTAAAAACTGGTAGCCTCACTTGATGGAATGATCGTAAGACAGACGTCTTTGTGAAAGCTTTGTCGCCAAGAACCATAGATGCAAACAGAGTTGAGATTACCTCCCTGTCGTTTACAGCCCTGTGCGACACTGCTGGCTGTCTGAATGGCGTCTGCGTCCTGCCTCCAGCTGTTGCTGCCCCCACGTGCAGCTGCAACCCCGGCTTCCAGCTGACCGCCGCCGAGCCAAACATCTGCTTCGGTAAGTCACAGACATCACCTTTCCATTTAGCAACTGACCAACAAATCCAAACGTCTGCTTCAGTAAGTCACAGACTTCACCTTCCATTTAACAACTGACCACCAAACCCAAACGTCTGCTTCAGTAAGTCACAGACTTCACCTTTCATTTAGCAACTGACCAACAAACCCAAAAGTCTGCTTCAGTAAGTCACAGACTTCACCTTCCATTTAACAACTGACCAACAAACCCAAACGTCTGCTTCAGTAAGTCACAGACATCACCTTTCCATTTAACAACTGACCAAAATATAATACAAAGGAATTACAAGTGGTTTTCGGGTATGAATTTTGTATTGTCAGAAAGTTCCACACAGTGCTTCACACAACCCGTGGTACGTATATGTTTACACATTGTATTTGCCGACTGGACTTAGGATCGGGTGGGTACAAGCTGGGACCTGGTTGATTGTGTGTCATCTACAATAACGGCCTGGATCGTTGACTTAAACAAGAAAAAGTCCAGATACAGCTGACTATGGTGTCAAACAACAGTATTCAATTCTGTCAACTCAGAATGAATATCACAATGGAGAATATGGATATAATATCGAGGGAAATATGAAGTCTTCAAACATTTCTGGATAACAGTTTATATTTATCCTGATGACATTTGATTAATATATCTTGATCCTTCATGCAAGCAGTATCACGAGACGTCTAGAAACAATACAAAAATAATGATCCTTGGGTCTACCAACATCGAAGCGCCAATCAAATGTAGGAAGAATACTGTTGACAAAACATGATTATTTTTGTACTGTTGTATCTGTGGTTCAAGTAGAACTTGCATATTTTGTTGTTGCAGATATTGACGAGTGTTACGGCAACACGTACATCTGTGGGGTGAGTTTTGACCCCTACCTCCGCATCTCTGTCCCCAGCGGGAGGTGTGTCAACACCCCGGGCTCCTATTACTGCATGTGCAACCCCAACGTGGCCCTGTCATCCTTCGACAACAAGACCTGTATATGTAAGTGTCATACGTCCAACACTAGACTGTCTCTCAGTCCCTGGACCATATTATGTTTCTTTCCACCCAGCTCTTACTAACATCTAGTCTCTGAAATGAACATATCGTACAGAAAAAAACAGTTGTTCAATTATCTTAATAAAAATATAATAAAAGGGAGCCCAGTGACTCTTCATTTTCAGATACTGCATTAATCTAGACTTGCTAAACATCATAGACTTGCATGGGCTGTATTTGATCTAATTTGTATCAAGGTCTGTAAGACAGACTATCTCAGTCCCTGAACTATATTAGGTTTCCTTCCGCCCAGCCCTTACCGTAACGCTGTAGCCTTAAATGAGTGAGTGAGGTGGGTTTAATGCCGCTTTTAACAGTATTACAGTTATATCACGGCGTGTCAGCTTAATGTGGGAGGAAAGCCCGAAGTGATGCAGGTCTCAGTCGTTTACCACTTCGGTGAAACCCACTACCATGGGTATGGAGCTGACAAACCTAGAAATATAATAGGGGCGAACCGGGATTCGAACCTACAGTCATAGGTTTCTGGCGTGCCCAAGGGACGCAACTCTGCACAGCGAATCGCGGCGCCTTAGACGACTAGGCTACCCGTGCCCCCGTCGCCTTAAATGAAGAAAGTCTAGATTTTCTAAAGGTTCTGAACCTTCTTTTAAATTTAAAAGGAGTTGTTTGTTTCCATCAAAATTATATATATTTTCAAAGACTTTGTGTTCGTCAAGTTCAAAACCTGCACAGCTTTATCGTTAATGTCATTGTAAACAACATTGACCCCTACATACATGGGGGTTTGGTCGGGGCGCATGTCCGTCAGTTGGCGTGTGTGACAAACACAATGTCAAATACTGCTTGGAATACCAACAAATGTGTTACGGAAACTCTACCAAAACGTCGACACAAACATACATATAGCCTAGGCACAACGTGGTTTTTGATTTGCCCATTTGACTTTTTTTACAGCCATTCCCATTCAACAGCAGCAGCAGCAGCAGCAACAACAGCAGCAGCAGCAACAACAGTACTTCTATCAAAGCCTTCTCAACCTGTACCTTTTCGACCAGTTTGAACTATTTGATTTTTAACAACAAAATATAAATTCATTCTCAAATATATATATGTCAATATTTTCATGTAACCTGATATAATCATCTGTCTTTTGAATAAAATATATTATCAACTGAAAAGATAGTGATTTTTTCCTATTGTGTTATCATTGCATTGGATTATTATAACAGAATAGGTTATCTTGTCCTATTTTGATAATTTATCCTGAATTAAAATTTAATCTTCAGGAAAAGGCACAGCACAAATCCTCTTGAAGGCGTGTCGTGTCAAACTAACGACGTCATATAAGACATTGATTTTCCCCTTTATATGTTGTAAAGATACAACTGAAGTTATCGCAAAGAGTCAGCCACCATTAGGGGCATCATCAGAACCGTTTCCAAGTTTTAACATGATGAAATACACACTCCGGCGCAGTGGTGATGTCCCATAACACCCCTGCCACAGGCCAATTTGCATATCATGTGACGCGTTTTTTTCTGAAATCAGAATAGAACGGACTAGTGCAAGTATTTGTGGGCGCTTTACATATTGTTTTGCATAATTATATAGATATGCTTCTGCAACTGCGACAGTGAGTTGCAAAAAAACAAAACATTTTTACACCAAAGTGACCGTATCGCTAGCTCTGCGGGGGGCTTCGATGACAGCACGTGGAGCCGTACAACCAATGTAAACAACGGATAACTACGCAATGGAAATAGCTTTTGACGATTTAGGATATTTTCTCAATGAAATTTAATCAATCTAAGACATATGTTTATCCAGATATGTAGACTTGTCAAAAATAAAACAGATGAAAAACATGTCCAATATCATGACTGTGTAAGATGTGACGAATCGTCACATTGCGCTTGCCTGTGGCAGAGGTACGATGCTGGTCGCATGGAACTCTGGGTAGGAGAGTAATTCTGTCCACCAACATTTCAATTCTGAAACTGACTCCATACTTGGCATGATATTTGGGACTTTAGACGACAATACCATCCATCTAGTAGCAGTATATTCCGAGAAGAGTGTCGCATTCGCCCCAAATGGCCCTGCGAGAAGGTGGACATGTCCTGTGTTTAAGTAAGTGTATGATGATGTTATTGGTAGACTGCAAAAACGAGAAAAACAGAATTGGAATAATCCCATTTTGTCGCAACCAGCTGTCATCCAAAGTGTGGCTACCCAACATGAAAGGTTGTTTCTTAATTTCTTTAACGCCTCACTCAGCAATATTCCAGCTATATGACGGCGGTCCGTAAATAATCGAGTCTGGACCAGACAATCCAGTGATTGACATCATGAGCATCGATCCACGCAATTTGGATCGATGACATGCATCAACCAAGTCAGCGAGCCTGACCACCCGATCCCGTTAGGAACCTTTTACGACAAGCATAGTCGCCTTTTTACGGCAAGCACGGGTTGCTGAAGAACTATTCTTACCCGGATCTTCACGGGTCTGAACACAATGTTCGTTGGTTGGTTGGTTTGCTGTTTAACGCCGCACTCAGCAATATTCCAGCTATATGACGGCGGTCTGTAAATAATCGAGTCTGGACCAGATAATCCAGTGATTAATATCATGAGCATCGATCCACGCAATTTGGATCGATGACATGCATCAACCAAGTCAGCGAGCCTGACCACCCGATCCCGTTAGTCGCCCTTTACGACAAACATAGTCGCCTTTTACGGCAAGCATGGGTTGCTGAAGACCTATTCTACCCCGGATCTTCACGGGTCTGAACAGAATGTAATGAAATATACGGAATTATGTAAACTCTAATGACAAATGTTTTTATTGTATTTCCGTGGATCGAACATGCAACCTTTACAGCTGTAGCCCAGCAAGTGTACCACAAGGCTGCAGTGCCGCTGATAAACCACAATGCTTTTCAATGCACCCGTACACCAGCAACAGATATTTTACGCCCGCTTCGTAAGGTTCATGGAAAGTTTGTTTAAATCATGAACATGAAAATGTCGGTTTATAAGTCAAATAAAACATGTACCCCCGGTAATTAGATTAAAAACCCTCGTCCAAGGGTTTTATTCCTTGGATTTGGGTTTTAAATCTCAATAAAACCCTCTGACGTGTTGTATCCTACACTTATGGTATAAAGTCTAGTATTATATTACTCAAACGCCATCTTAACGTTTTCTACGACACATCTTGTTACATGGTGAAGATATTCAATAACCATTCAAGGGCTGACCCAGAAAAAAGTGACATATATTTGTATGATGATATTCAGTTAGTTATTAGGACGCATAATAATAAGGATGATGTTCGGTTACCTGTAAAGAGTTACGTTTTACATATTACGCTCTACTTGTCTACGGATGAAGGGGGCGGTCGGGTAGCCTAGTGGTTAAAGCGTTCGCTCGTCACGCCGAAGACCCGGGTTCGATTCCCGACATAGGTACAATGTGTGAAGCTCATTTATGGTGTGCCCCGCCGTGATGTTGCTGGAATATTGCGGCGTAAAATCAAAACTCACGCACTCACTGATGAAGGAGGAAGAGAGAGGAAAAGTGGAAAGCTTGGTGAAAAGTGTGATGAAGAAGGGCAGGAGGGGGCTTGCGTGCCCAAGGGACGCAACTCTGCACAGTAAATTGCGGCGCCCCTCCAGACTTGTGTAGTGTGAATTTGACTATGGACATGGATAGAACATAAAGAAAGCGTATATTTTATTCTTTTGCCTTGACTATAATTCAGTTAATGCAGTGCCTATAGTTTCTTTCCTTTCAAATCGACCATTTACGCTACGAAACACCCTGTTACCTAGACCCAGCACACATGCACGTGCTCCATTGCACGAGGAAATCACGACAATGTCAGCTATCACAACAATGCATGGTTCAGTTTATACATCTTCTATTTGAGAGCTCAATTCATTATTAACATAGTTGATACACTGAAATATCTTTTAGTCGTGCTATAAAATAACAATAATTCTTACCAAAGTCTCTTGGTTTGATGCTTCAGTATTCAAGTCTTGTTGCACGTGCTTCTCGTGTGGCTGCGACGGTATTATGTCAACAATGTCACCGTGACCGGCAACACACAGGTGTTTCACACCATATTAACAGGGAACCGGATCACCTGTTCACTGTTTCAAATGTTATGCATTTTTATTTGTTTTTCTGTTTTCTGTTTTATTTTTTGTAATATATTTCTTAAAACTTCAGACAATTTTTCTGTCATTCCTACTTATCCAACAATATGTTATCTACATATACCTTGCAACAGGCCCCAACTGAGGATTATTCTCTCCCACTTTTTCTCATGTATTGTGTATTGACGCCTTTGGTTGTTTTCGATTTTCTATATTTTGGGGCATTGGAATATGTCCAACTTTTCATGCCTATTTCGGGGTAACGGGAGGCCAAGTTGTTTAATTAGCTTGCAGAGTTGTGTCCCTTAGGCACGCCAGGAAACTATTATCGTGGGTTTGAATCCCATATTCACCAAAGTGGTAAACGTCTGAGACTTGCAAGTTGACACACTGTGATAAAACTTAATTACTTTTCAGAGGGGCGTCAATTTAAACTTACCCACTCACTTCAAAGCTGAAAATGTGTTGGAAGCCCACATTGGACCCATAACCATTCAAAACAAATCTTACCAATTCACAGATGCGCGTGATGACAAGTGTTTGAAGCGCCATCATTTCCTTGCTGATGCTGTCACCCGTGTTTAAACCTTGTGAGTGTATTTCCTTCACCCCGATGTGTCAGTCAGTGGATTTAACACCCAAGATAATATAAAGTCAAATGTCGTTTTCCTTAAGAGAAATACACCTACATGTATCTGGTTGCCTGGTGGCGTTGGATAAATGCCACGGCCAATAACATAGACAGGTGATGCCTGCAAGGGGGTGCTAACAGTAACACACATCGTCAGAACACAAGTGGTGCTAACAGTATCAACCATCACCAGAACACAAGTGGGTGCTAACAGTATCAACCATCACCAGAACACAAGTGGGTGCTAACAGTATCAATATCACCAGAACACAAGTGGTGCTAACAGTATCACACATCACCAGAACACAAGTGGTGCTAACAGTATCACACATCACCAGAACACAAGTGGCGCTAACAGTATCACACATCACCGGAACACAAGTGGGTGCTAACAGTATCACACATCACCAGAACACAAGTGGTGCTAACAGTATCACACATCACCAGAACACTGGTGGTGCTAACAGTATCAACCATCACCAGAACACAAGTGGTGCTAACAGTATCACACATCACCAGAACACAAGTGGTGCTAACAGTATCAACCATCACCAGAACACAAGTGGGTGCTATAAGTATCAACCATCACCAGAACACAAGTGGGTGCTAACAGTATCAACCATCACCAGAACACAAGTGGGTGCTATAAGTATCAACCATCACCAGAACACAAGTGGGTGCTAACAGTATCAACCATCACCAGAACACAAGTGGGTGCTAACAGTATCAACCATCACCAGAACACAAGTGGGTGCTAACAGTATCAACCATCATCAGAACACAAGTCGGTGCTAACAGTGTTGCACACATCACCAGAACATAACAAACCAATGCCACATGAAATATATGTTATGAGTCACATATTGAACAACATTTTCACATGTAAAATACACATGCAACGCAAGGCACGGATATAGCCATGGACAATTGTTGTACGGTTTGTTTTATTACAGAAATTATTTTGTCTTCACATAGAATATTTGCCTACTGCTCCATGAGAAGATCGACACTCCGACACAGGGATCCAGGGATCGTACTATGTCAGGTGTAAATTATCCAGTCTTATTATGTCAGGTGTAAACTCTCCTGTTTCATTATGTCAGGTGTAAATTATCCAGTCTTATTATGTCAGGTGTAAACTCTCCTGTTTCATTATGTCAGGTGTAAACTCTCCTGTGTCATCATGTCAGGTGTAAACTGTCCTGTCTCATTATGTCAGGTGTAAACTTCCAGTCTCATTATGGCAGGTGTAAACTCTCCTGTTTCATTATGTCAGGTGTAAACTGTCCAGTCTTATTATGCCAGGTGTAAACTCTCCTGTCTCATTATGTCAGGTGTAAACTGTCCTGTCTCATTATGTCAGGTGTAAACT